TAAAATGGGACGCGCTCGCAATTACGCGTGAAATGAACGCGGCGATGCATGCAGCCATCGCGTGCGTGCGTGCGTGCGTGCGTGCGTGCGTGCGTGCGTGCGTGCGTGCGTGCGTACATGTACTTATAACAAACACGCGTCCTTTCTGCGCAACACTCACAGATGTCCGAACGCTCAGAGAGAAGCTCGATTCTTCTCTTTGTCTCAAATTTACGGTGTAACAATAAATTTTGAGATTTTGGTGATTAGAAGTAGATTATCGAAATAACAAAATTTTTCGGTTTTGACACGCGCGAATTGCGTGGACGCGCAGAGTATTATAGACAGCTATTAATTCGTGTGTAGACTCGGCGAACGTCGCGTCGGGTCCCTTTACTCTTTGCTCCCCTCATCGGTGGCCCCGGTGGTTAATCCATTACCGGGGGCTGAGGGGGAGGGGGTGCGCGGCGATATACCGAGCCAGCTCTCGGTTTCCGCGACGCCCACTAATTTGCTAACCATCGATTTCGACCAGCACGCACACCCGCGCCCACCGCCGCCAATCGCGAATCCGGCCCCTCTCTCTCATTTCGCGTTGCTATGTTTAGAAACGCACGCGCGGAACACTCTTTGGCGCTTAATAATCATCGCCGACCTACGCCGCGCGGCGAACGTGGCAGCAGAGCCGGAGCCGGTCATTCGCGGGAAGCTCCCATAGTTTTCGGAGAAGCGCGAATTTTCTGCGTAACATGCACTCGCATGTAGAATTATTATTATACGATTACAAAGCTTTTTTGTAAATATTAATGAAAATTCTATATACGGAATATTCTTTTAAAAAATTCTTTGAATTTACTTACTCTTATCTGCAACTTTGTAAAATAGATGAAGCTAAATAATAGTAATTAAATAAATAATTGCCTAAGTTACAGTAATAACTGTTCATATAGTAATAGATACAAATACAATAATAAATGTTCAGTGTGTAATAAATAATACCATCTATATAATTATAAGAATATATTTAATAAGTTTCTATAAGAAGTTAAACTTTTATCGTTTTATCTCATTGCTAGAACTTTAATTTAAAATGTCGTCTATTCAACTTCAAATACATTCTAAATAAAATAAGGATTCGCAAGCTTCAACTTTAAATTTAAACTGTTTAAATTTGTAGTATCAAATTATACTCAATTTGAGTCACTTTTAACCATTTTTATAGATCGTCACTGCTCCTACTTAAATATCGGTAATTTAACTTAACACTTAACTATTTAATTTAACTTTTTAATTTAACTTAACTAAAACAATAATAATTTAACTAAACCAATGGAGTTAAAATAACACTGTTTTGTGTTAAAATAATATATTTCGACACACAGGGTAGTTAAAAATAACAAAATGTTATTCAACTTAAAGTATTGGTTTAAGTTTAAATTTCATATTTTTATTTAACAGTGTACTCGAATAGATCAGAGTAAGTGATACAAATCAACCTATTTAATATCTCGCGATTTCGAGAGAAGAAAGTCAGCGGAAAGCGAAAAAGGACGTGAAGATCGATTTCGACTGCAAGGGGATCAGGCGGAAGATGCATGCTAGGACAAATTGGCCGTCAGATACGATTGGTGGCGGGAGTAAAAAGCGAGGCGAGCACTCTCAAAAAGAGTGCGCGCATACATCGTCCTCCTCCTCCTCCTCCTCCTCTTCCTTCTTCCGTTCTTTCTCGGTCCACGTAACTAACGGCAGGCAATTAAAACTCGGCCTGCCGCGAGCGTTTAAGCGTCGACATTTCCGTTCACACGTGCGTAACGAGTCGAGCGGGCCGCGCATCGACGCCTCCGTCGCGCAAAAAAACGTCGACGATGACGCCGCGCGCCGGCCGCGTCGCGGTCGCTCCGCTCCGCTTCGCGAAGCGGAGCAGCGAAGCGAGATTTAAGGCCGTCTGAGCATTCACGGTCGGAACTCTCCGCGTTCTGCGCGACCAGCAGCCTGCACGCACATGGCGGCTCGGTAGAACTCGGTGGGCTGTGAACGTTTTTCTTCATTCTCGTGATATACGACAGTCGCACAATGTTCAGGAATCTTTTATTTTACCGCTACCGAATATGACGGAAATTGCACTCGGATTTAATGCAACCGAAACTTCGGTTTTTCAAGTTATGCGAAGGGATTGGAAGCCCTTTTCTATTTGCAGTGATAAAAAACTATTACATTTTAATTTTAAACCTTATGAAGGAATGACGATCGCGATTACATAATGCAATTGAAATTTTATTAAAGTCTTCTTTAATTAGAAACATCAGTATCGAAAAGTCTGTGAGACTTGTTTATATACATATATTTTAATAACAAACGGATAGAATGTTTATTTAGTCATTATTGTTCATTGAAGAATCGGATAAAGTTATTCTTTGCATTCTGCAGCGCCGACCTGGCGCGTGCCTTGCATTTTCGACATGGCCTGCCCCAATTTGTCAGTGACTACTTGTAGGGTGAAACTCGTCTGGCCGATTGCCACTCCTCGGTACACAGCCGGAATTTATAGTCATTGGTCCTCTCTCGGGTACGACGTATCGGACAAATTGCGTCTAGAACCAACTCGCTGCGGCCCGATATTACGTTAATGTAAAAATATAACGGAATATATCGTTAATTACATCGAACGCTGTTCTTGGAATTCTCAGAAATCTCAGGCGGTGGCATTTGTCTACTTTACGTTGTGATCAATTCTCAGAAAATGCTTATCAAATTTGCTATTTCAAACGAGAAACTTTGCTCCCAACTTGACAGAGAGGAGGACTCGACTTGCCGGAACGAATCGCGTTTAAACACTTTTCATCGCGCGGCGAGCAATATCTCTACCTTTCTTCCTGCTCCTTTGTGCTTCTTCTCTAATTTTACAAGGCGTTAAGTGCCACTTTGTGCTCGATTCCTCAGCTCCGCCGATACTTATTTCCGCCTTTCTGTCGCGCAAATGAGCGCAAGCGTTTGCCATAAACCGCTCTGACGACAGCTCGTAAAACCACATCCGTCGTATTCAAATTCATGAAAAGAGCATTAATAATCAGTATTATTAGTTTATTAATTTAAACAAAATTCTTATAGAATTATAATTTCTCTTTAGATAATTAGGAAAATTGCAATATATCTATGTTAATAACAAATAACACAATTAAATCATATAATATATAATATTGTACATAATGTATAAATATTAAAATAAATATAATTCGCAATTGAATTGAAAAGATCGTTTTGCATTAAATTGTGATTAGAATGACACTGCGCTAATTGGGTATAACAACAACATATAAGACGGATTATATATGCATGCAATTAACGAACATTAAGTCAACATATAACTAAAGCTGTAAATATAGATTAGAGCATTGGAGTAGTGTTTCCTAAGGAGTGGGCGATGTATATTGGGTAACTTTAGGATCCAATTAAAGTGACGGCATGCTAACGAGTATCGAAATAGTATCGTTACTATAGTGATGCATCGATTAGCCGCCTCGGAGTCATCTACGATGTAAACGATGCTTGGGCGTAATCCATTTTAAAATTCGACGAGCACGCCGAGAGACGCGTGAAATAACATGTAATGTTTCTAATGACGTTGCCGCATAATAATTTATAATTTAATAACTAAATTTTTTTTCAGATACAACAATTCATTTTTGTAGCATTAAAAGAACATATCAATGAAAAAAATACATTTGTGCTTAATAGCTATTTAACATTAATATTAATTATTTTATATATAGCAACATTAACATACTAAAAATTTATTATCCAAAATCTTCGCCGGATAATATTTTTTCTCTGATTAAAAAATTAGCTTGTTTTTTTGCTGGAATAATTAATTCCAGAAAATATGGCATATGAAACACAAATGATTAAAATGTTTTTCTTCCATGACGTTAAAGCGCAACAGAAGAAATCAATAATTCTACAAACAACGGAACACGACCATTAGATGACGAGACAAACAACAAGCAACCATGCTAAGAATAAGCGCGTGTCAATATCTTCACGGACGAATCAAGTAAGACAACAGTCTTGATAAGGTGCTCGTTAGGAGGCACCCTGCGGGGGTGGCGTGAAGGATAACTTAATGGGGAACACGTTGAGGATACAAAATAGACCGCGGAAGAAGCAAGCTCGTTAACGTCGATCGCTTCACGTTTCAGAAACAGCATAATTGGTCAATTACCTGTCAAAACTTTTTCGGACCTTACAAATTACTCGTCAGTTCCCCGTCGTAATCTCAATATTTGAGATTTGTCGGACTTTGTTTTGTTTACACACTATTATAGAGAACAACATATTATAAAACATTAGATAATGATAATTATTAAAATGGCAATAATCTAATATCTCTTATGAGTTATTGGTAGAAAACTATTCATTAGTCCGAGAGAAAAACAATTTTATTAATATATTATATAAAATTTAATTAATATTATCATGTCAAGTGTAAGAAGTATTATAGTTTTACAATTTATGTAAATACGTAATAATTTTTATTGTACATTCCTACGTATATAATTATAGTTCCACTTTCAGGGAATAAAGCTGTCAAAATTTTCCTCTATTAAAGTTGATTTTGAAAGTTGCTCCAGTTTTAGTTTCTGAAAGCTACTCCCGATAGCTCGTCATCATTCATCAGAAGCCTCATTTAGTTAATTGCACCGTCACGTTGTTTAAGCGCGAGGTGATATTTAAAAATAAACCTTACTGCCACGATCGTTCCGAACTGTCCACCGTTTCCAATCTTGAAGCATCCAAATGCAAGTACCTCGGATTAAAGCCTTGCCACCAAGATGGTGGATCCGCGGACGATAGGCGCGGCCGGACGACGCTGTTGGTCCGAATGCGACCAATCAGGATCGGACAAAAGTCGGCACGACGATGCCACGCCATCCACCACGTCGGGACACGGCGCATGCCGAGGAATCACGAATTAAAATACCTTGCCCTATACCCTCGGCAGTCGCCCGTCGACCCGTGCGTCATACGGTCGCCTTCCGATATCTCGTATAGCGTGCGCGGTGTATAGTCCGGCGATATATTGTCATCATCGACCAACGTATAGTGCAGAAATGTTCATAATTGAACAACTTGTCAAGTTGAAGAAAAAGAAGAAAGGTTTACAAAGGTGGACGTGAACAATTCCTGCAAAAATTGTCATTGAGTGCGCATTACAATAATTTATTCTTTTTAAAACTCTGCAAGATTGATGATTGGGACCTGCCGGATTCTCTGTATGATTAACAATCTTCTGCATCGATCCTCACGTCATAATTAATGACGACATGACGTTCGGCATGAGAATTTCAAATCTCCGATGAAGTTTCATATTACATTGGTGATCCAGACATATTTAACTATTTATGACTTCAATCAGTCTTATTTATTACTGTTATAATACACGGAAGAGCCGAACACTACATTTCAATAATCAAATACGATTTTTCACAAGACACAGATTTTATATTCCTAGATGTCATGATTTTCGTAAACCTGTGCTATAGCTACAATAACCAGTAATGTTGATGTTTCTGCAAATCAAGAAACTCAAGAAAGGATTGATGATGACGAAACGTGATAAACTAATAAGTTTTCTTAAACTTGTTCGACGGTATTAAAGAAGATTGTGACCAGTGCCAAAAGTACATTGATTTATATATTATATATAAAAATGCAACTACGCGCCGGAAATTATAGTGACGACTACACGGAAGTTATCGTCAATGAAATACAAAGGAATTACCTTAAACGCGTTGACTGCCATACCGAATTAAAAGACTAAAGCTTAATAGTGTGATAATAGATATTAACAATAATTTTTACATATTATATTTCAATATTGTGTGAAAAAAAGTCGAATAGAAGAAAAGAAGACGATTGATAAACAAATAGTAACGATTATTTAAAGTGTTAAAGCTCATTGTAAAACGTGCCATAACTGTTGTAATGCAAAACACACAATACTGGAGAGAAAATAATGCAAAGTATTATAAAACAATCGTTATATAATAAATATAAGGCATCTCAACACTGATCAACAACCTTAAACTAACGTTGCAATTTGATTCAATGCTGACAATTTGAATAAAGCCACTCCGACATCACTCTTATTCAGTGCACAACAGCAATTAAATCTACAATTCACTTTCTTGAAGTACTCCCGCAAGACATTATTTTTTAATCTCGCGACGCCTTGAACCGCGCGAGAAAACGGCTATTGTGCGCGAAAGAGAAAGATTATGTTCCGCACGTAGTACCGGAGAGATCGGTTCCGCTCGATTTTAATCCCATCGAGCTCAAGGAGTCATGGACGTGAGCGTGGAGGAGACCGAGCTCGACGTCGGCTCGGCGAGCGACGAGCTGGAGTCGTCGGTCGCGGAGCCGAAACACGCGCGACGCCCGACGCCGCGGCCCTTCACGATCGAGAGCTTGATCGGTAGCGCGCGCGAGGATCACGATACCGGTGGCGGCGGTGTTACACGGGATGACCGGACGAACGGCAGCGAGGAGGAAGAACACCGGGATCGGGAATACCAGCTCTATCAGAGGCACTACCTGGCGACCGCGGCAGCGAGCACGCTACCCTCCGGTGAGCACGTTTTTCCTGCTACAATTTAGTCGGTGACACTGGAAAGTTAAATTTTGGGGGAAAAAACTTTAGTGTGTGATTCTTTTTATTTAACCTTAACTAGCCATATACTTATTTTCGAATCCTTAATTCGCCACACTCCGGTTCGTGAGACCGATCGACTTTGTCGCATCGTCATTTTCATTCTAATTAATACTTTTTAAGATTGTAATGTAGGAATTGGAAATACAGAATTTGAATAATAATGTTTATGATAATATCAAGTCAAGAAAATAATTTGAGTTTAAACTGAACATATTATAAAGAAACTTGAAAATTATTATTGTTATTACGTGAAAACTAGAAAGCCAAAAAATGTTTAGCAGTCCGAAATATGGCGAGCTAGTTAAAATTTTGTTCCTTTCAAGACATTTTCGACGGGTAGAAGTAATATAGATATTCGATTAATTTATAGTTTCCAACGCGGCAAAATGTTTTCTTATTATAAATATCGGAATATGAAGGTATAGAAGCAGCGTTGTTGGAATTGGAATTTTCTATCTAAGTGCTTATCTTGAAATTGAGATCTTTTTTGTTTTCGTTATATGTATGTGAAGCATTCTAGTTATTATTACATTTATGGAGCCGGTTAAAGAAAATTCATATTGAGTGTGACAAATGACTTTATAAAGGCTCTTCGGACGGAAAAGATGCGGATGTGAGTAGCGTCGCGACTGCGGCTTAAAATACGATGGCTACAAATACATAAAAATGAGCGAATCGATAACTGCAGCGAGGAGAGACCGCGTTACATCTACATGCGTCTGCTGTATTTCTAGTATATGAAGTTCATTCAGCGTTTTCTCTAATCTTCCATAGTAAACGTGATAAAATTGATAAAAAATATGAAATTATGAATCTATGATTCTTTATTAAAACAATTTTTTGTAGTAGATTTTGAAGCCCTCCATAAAATTAAAATTCTTATTAATCTATATAAAGCTAATTTTTAAATAGTCGCATTTTCGCCAATTTTTCATATCCATATTTCCAATCGATTGACTATAAATTATCTAATAAAATTTTCAAACGCGAATTAATATCTGCTTATATTAGATTGATAGCTACTTTAGGAACTTTCAATTTAAAAGAAAAATTCCTTATTCAGTATGTAATTCTTAAAGGTTAAATGACGCTAAGATTATTACATATATAATCTTATATAATCTCTTTTTATATATATGTGTACGTGCTCCGATAAGTTTGTGAATAGCATCTTCCGTCGGAAGAATTATGGCGCGCGTTAATCCGGCTGATCATCAATAACTGTCATAATGACTGACTATATTTTATATATGTACATAAAAAATGTGAATAATTACATTTATATATAGTCACACATACATAAACGAATTAAACGAAAGAATGAAATAATAAACTAAGATCAGGCTTATGTGTTTGCATAAATCATAATTTAAGCTATTAATATCCTGAATTGCTTGTTTGTCCTTGAAATTTACATTCTGCGAAAGGCTAAATCACATTTGTTTGCATGAAATTGGTCATACAACAGCGTTGAGTTTTAAAATTATTAATTGGAGACCACTCGCAATTTCCGATGTGTCTTTCTTATTTACAATTGAGATATACAAGATATTGAGATATACAATTGTTTATATACAAGATTGTTGTAAGACATTATAACACAATTATTGTGAAATATTATTCCATCGAGTTAAAGGCGCCGTAGTGTCTAAGCGATGCTCCGAAACGTGAACAGATACCAGGTGCTGGCGACGTTTCGCATACTATAATTTGCGATCACGGATATGTACATAATTGAAACCTTCAGAGCCTACCGTTTTTTCTTATGTATCTCATATTCAGTTTATGCAGTATGGTGCAGTAAGATGCAGTTAGCTTTAAGTTTTGTCGTTACACATTTGTAATCGCAATATGTTGCGTATTGATACATTCAAACACAGATTTAATTGCTACAAAAGAAAATTGATTCATGCTATAAATTGAGTAAAGAAGGATAAACGTGGGCGCGAGTAATACTAGAATTTAAGTAACAAAATGAAGATTAGCAACAATGAACAAAAATGGAATTAATATTAAAAACGTCAGCTTCAAAAATGGATTAAACACAAAAATAAATGTTTAGCAATTAAAAAAGGGACATTGTATTATAAAACTGAAAGAACGGAAATAAAACATAAAATTTGATTTATCTTGTGATTTTATTCGTTTATCATTAGCGAGCGGATTTATCGTTAGTAAATATCTACTGCGTTTTATATATGTATTAAGAAGCCGGATTTTTTTACATTTTGTGATCTGAAATATACCTTGTTATTATCTTCAAAAGATGAAAAACATAGCATATGTGTTTATGAAGAATATTTGTCTAATAAAAAATGTATAGATATTATTTTAAATTCGAAGATATATTTTTAACGTTATTCAATATAGTTGAATTAAATTAGTCTCAAATATTTATAATTACATGTTAATTACTAAATTGGAATAATTAATTGGTTTAATTGGTTAAATCAGTAGCTAAGTAGGTATTTTAGGATTAAGTAAACAACATTATATTAAAAGCATTTTGCCAAAATCCAGGTCAATTGCTTTTATACATACATCTTGACATATATATATTACAATCTTATGTTACGTTTATATATATACACAACTCTTAAATCTATTAATTATCCAACCATTAACCTAAATCTGCTGACTGTTTATCTAAATCTATCAATTATAAATTGGTCTATGCAGGTTTCGGCGTGCCGCTTGGATTGTATAGCGCTTGGCTACCGATGCGAATGTACGGTGGCAGCGGTGCATCCAGCATCTCGATGCTGCCGCCGCAGCATCCGTCTGCCGGCTACGCGGGTCACCCGGAACTGCATCAGAGCCGACTGTCGCAGCCCTCCGCACCGCCGTCCAGTCATCCGCAGGGATACTATCCACTGGATAGTTGCCGTCGTATCACGAATCAGCGTGCGCCGAGTAGCTTCACCGACAGCGAGGACGAGGACGGCAGCGTCGGTTCGCCGGTGTCACCGGCTCACGATCTTTCTAAATCCCGGCACGGTGAGTTTAACAGGAAACGGAGTCTCTTTAACATTCTTTAAAGCAATATAAAAAAAAACACTGTATAATGACGAAAAATGAAAAATTTGGGAAGAAATCTTCCTAAACTACATTGAAGATAGCGTGCAGAAGAAATAAATAACAGTCAAATTTGCGAATAATTATCGCAGTGTTGTCAGAATTAATTTATACACAATTTTTTAAATGAAAAAATTTTGGTATATTATAACATGTTAGTCTTTTTTAAAGTGACTGTCTAAATTTTATGATTGAATGCACAATTTAAATAATTTGAACAAAATATTATTAAAAGTACGTTATATCGTTATAGTCTTCGAAAGTAAATAAAAAAATATATGTAAAAAAATCGTATACATATATACATATATATGTATATAAAAAGAGAAAGGATTAGCTGACGAGCATGAAGCGAGCGTGGCTTTTCAAAACAAATTGAAGGAATTGCGAGCTGAATTTAATACAGAGAGATCTAGACTATTAGCGAACATTAGGACAACTTGAGGAATCGTTGAACAACAAAATCACGGAGACACTTTCAGACATTGCATACCCAAATGCAACATATATTTTGGAAAGTCATGTTGTAGTCATACTGTCGGTGGGTTACCATCCCTCCTTCCGAGAGGAAGTGGCGATCGAATAAAAACTAACAATTTTTGGTCGGATTGAACTCGGATCTTTCGGCTCACTAGACCAGCGCACGTCTCTCCGTGCTACGATCGCCTACTGTGCTCACCATTTCGTGCCGCCTTATTTCCATTATATCGTTACAGTCGTTACTTCGAAAGTAAATAAGAAAATATATGAAAAACACACACACACACACACACACACACACACACACACACACACATATATATATATGTGGAAAATAACGCACATTGATAAAACATAACTTGCCAAGTTAGTAAAACAACTATATCAAGCGCTTATAAAAGTTATGGAACAATTTCAGTTTTCTAGAGCATATACAATATGACACTCAAAACGAATACTTTGTCTTGAGTGATAGATCATGATACGATAACTACATATTATATAATCTTAAATCTTTTGACAGTATAGTAATTTGAAATGAATAAAAGTCAGTCGACGAATAAATTCTTTAACTCTTTTGCTAGGGCAAAGTCGACCGCCAGCGTTCGCTTTGGAGCGACGAGTGACTCCACTGTCTTAACTCGTTGCAGTAAAGATATAATTTTCCAAGCATTAAAATAAAACAGAATTTACATAAGCACAATAAATATTTTAAAATTATATTTTATCCTTATTTTAAACCTTGTATTTAATACGCTACAAGCGGAGTTAGTACCAATAGTACGGCTATGTCGGCTATAGCACGTACGTACGGGTCGTCACATGGATCCCGGCTATAGCTGGCGTTAGGAGCGAAAGGGTTAATCCTAGTCTGATGTGTAATCTCTCCGATCTTTATTTGATTGTTAGTGCATAATAGATAAGTTCATCCTGTGCTTGTGGCAATATATATCTTCATTACAGCACAATTTTAGATACTTCAGGAAGAGATTATTAGGCTGTAATGAGATTACATACATAAAATAATTAAACATTGAATCATTAAACATAAAACGCAAAAATAGATATTGTCGCTAAATCGGTAGTCTCTAAAGAGGAACACAGAATGATCTATGAATCCAATCGCGAAACGGGAGAAATCGGTGGGCCCGATTGCCGAGCGTTTACGAATTCCGGTGGCGTGTCTTTGGTCACGATCGTAGTCGCCACGATCGACCGCAAAGGATCGAGATACATGGTAGCGTGCATAAATTATCGCGCTCTCGTGGCCCGATCTCATCTTGTATGTATATATAGGTGCGTGGAACAATATGATGCGATAGACAATATGATATATTTGTGATATCTCGAGGTATAATGACAGCCAGTTAGGTCGATTAAAGAAGTCTTTACTGTTACTCAGTTTAATTATTTACTGGCGAAGTAAATGTTACTTATTCGATCTCAAAGTATGTTCTGGTCGAATTTCTATAGGGTAACTGGGGGGAATATGCTAGTGTGGGGAATATGCCACTCGTTATGTTTAACAAAGCTATACGGCTAGGAGCGTTGTTGTAAATACTGTGAACTTGTTAAAAATATTATATCTGACGTTTTGCCCAAGTTTTACTTACTTCCTGTCAGTATTATAGTTTTTATGGGGTAAGTACAGTATGACAAGTATGACAACGTGCTTTTTAGAATTTTCTTAGTGTTTTATTGAAATTGTAATAAAAATATTCTTTTACATGTTTTTAGAATGCCCTTCTAAAGTTAAATTACTATACATGTTTGTATATGTGGCATATTACCCCACATGGGGGTAATATGCCACTTTTGCAACACTTTTGTATTTCTTTCTTTTTAATAGTAAAGAATCAAAATATTTACCAGTATGCAAAGATACCTCAAAAAGAAAGAGAAATAGAAAAAAAAATCATATTTTTCTTAAGTATAATGGCATATTCCCCCGAGTTACCCTAATGCGTTTTCGAGAAAGTAGCTCTATTTTTGTACAATTCTTCACGATCTCACTTTTCCAAAAAAAATTTTCTTTGTACACGTTTAATATAATACTATAATACATTAAATACTTTTCGACAAATCAACGTAAGGATGTGTAAGCAACAGAAATAAAATATGAATAGAATACTTATCGCTTTTATTAAGATAGTTAATAAATGAAGACAAATGGGAAATCCACTTTTTTCAAGGACTTTTACGATATTTCACGGAAGGCCCCGAACGCGCGTCGCCGTTTGACCGCCGAAAGCCAAAGGATATACATGACCGTCGATCGCCGATCACGTATTTCCGTGGGGACAATTCCGATGGTGTACTCTGACGCGCGCATTTATTCGTGGCCGGACACACTTTTTATTGATGTACCGCCGACCGGCGGCGATTTCGTATGCGAGACGAAATGGCTTCGGAGAATCTGTCATCGGTCATTTATGACGCACCGCGCCGAACCGGTGCGTCGATTGTCACGGCACGGCGAGGTGCGATTACGACGTTCCACGAATTCATCGCGATCCACCTACGTGCGGGCATTGCGTCCTCGCGCAATGCGTAGATTACTGATCCTGGTCCTGTCAACAGAAATCGGGGAAAAGGAAGAAGGCCAAGGGGAGCTTGAAGACTCTGAAATATCGACTTTGATTCGATTTGCGCTTCAACGATGCCAAAAACGAATCGAGATTCTAAACTTGAATAGCAATGTAGATGCGAGAGTTGAATGGGTCGAAAATATGAACTATCTCCAACTTATATTTTTTTTAGAAATAGAAATCTTGAGATTCTTGAAATTAATAAAATATAGATCGTATATAAATTTAAAAAATTAAAATTTTTAGCTCTTTTTAAGTAATAAGTAATGGAAATCCATATCTAAAAAAGAGATGTATATTAAAAAAAAGAACAAGTCAAATGGTGTACTTTGAAAAACCAAGCGTTCCCGTAACGTTAAGGAATTTTAATATTTTAATGAGTATATATCATATATATATATATTTAATCGCTGTCAGATTTTCTAACATAAAACACTTCACTATACGTATTTATCTTTCTTGTACATGTCTTTACAGCAGTTTTATATAAATTATTATTTACATACATAATTATTACTCTATATTTATGCTACTGCATTACATACATTGATGATTTTGGCGTTGAACAATTCTTTACAGCTGGGAGTTTGTTGCTATAAATATAGTAATTCAAAAGTGTTGCGTCTTTTTGTGAAGATCCTGGATAATTTGTGAATCTGTAATATATCGTAATGTATAAAATAAAATAACATTATTTAAAAACTCAAAACAGTTGTCGCATATCGACCGTTAAACTGTTAGATAGTTTTCTAGAGACAAATCAGAATGTAAAAAACTAAATGACAGAGTTAATATATTGTTCAATGCGATCAATTGCACATCGCGCTATTTTTGAATGATATCGTTTTTATTCTCGATCACCGGTAAATTTTTACACAAGCACGAACGAACAGTTATTTTAATGCGATTGTCGATCGAGACGATGCGTCATAAATACACAACGCCGTATAGCTTAGATCTTATCGCCGAAACTATTATCCAACGACGGGAAGTTAAAAATAACTTCTGCTTTTGCAATGTCTCAATCCTTCGAAATTTTCGATTGTACAATTTTTGCAACTACAGGCTAAAAAGGTATTGAGTTCTTTACAAAAATAACACATTAGAGAGTAGTGTATTTTATATAAACGGTTCAAATCATTTAAATAAAGTTGTATAATATATTTTCAAGTATCAAAATTAAAGCTGTAACTCATTAATTCAAAAACACTTAAAGTTTTCTCTATGAGAGGACATATAATTGTTTTATATATAGTCTAAATAATATATTTAATAAGTAGATTAAATTTTTAAGGTATATATATATATATATATATATATATATATATATCTAATTCTCAGAACCATAAATGTGCCATTTTGGACCTCATTATTGAAGAGAGAGAAAATGTCAAATCCATGGGAGTATCATATAGATAATACATTGAAGATTAGATTAGTAACATGATAAGTACTTTGAAATGAGAACGAGTCTCGCGATATTCAACAGCGAATTATTAATCAATGGCCCAGATGTGACACGGCGGAAAGTGTGTTAACGGCATTTTCATCATGAGAACACGAAAGCTGGCTACATGAATTGGATATGTGGAAGACTCGAACGGAGCTTTTGAGTGCCTATGCAAAATTTAGAGTTCCATTCACGGCGACGCGGAACGATTCGATCCGCCGTCGCTTCGAGTAATCAAATAATCGTTCATAAAATCTTGTTTCATCTCGAAAATAACGAATTCGCCGATAGATAGAATAATACTTTTAAACCGTGAATTAAATTGTGGTTTATACGATATGAACCTAAGTGACATTTACGCCGGACCAAATAAAATTATTTATAAATAATTGTAAACCATTTAC